CTGAGGCTCACCACCTTGTGTCTTCTTCTCTGGCTGTGGGGCCATGTGGTCACACATCCTGGTCTGTGTGGTTGGTAGGTACAAAGGGAGTTGCTATACTAACAGGGCCTTGTCTAATCCATGAGGGAAGACCTTCTATTCTGAGACAGGGAACAGCTATTTATTGCTCTGTACAATAGGTGATGGGTTAGTGAAGTATCAGGATTCCTTGGAACTCTAGAAAATAGCATCGATGTGCCCATCTTAGCAAAGGCACAGGTGTTGTTAGCTCTGGTGTGTTCTCTTGAAAAGTCAGCTCAGCTATGAAAAAAAGGGACCCAGTGAACCAGCTTGGCTTAAAGGGAAAGAAAATTATTTCAATTCCGTTTTTTAGTTTGGGCTGTAAAGAGTACTTGTATTTCCTCACTATTTTGAAATACATCTGAGCCTTGGAGTCATTTTCTGCAAAGGAGAAGTGGAGGCAGTCATGGATAATTTGGGACTTCAAGGATATATAAATTTTTTTGTATTTAGAGTTGGAAGATGGGTTTAGGTTGAAGTCTGCTGGGAAGGCAAAAAGAGAGGAATGGGGTTCTTTTTTTAGGAAGAAAAGTTATCATGAGATTCTTATAATTTTACTGTATTTTGTGATGGGATCTATGAGTATTTGGCAGGAAAGAACCTTCTGGGGCAAATGTCATTTGGTCTTCCTGTGTTGGAGTCAAAGGTACTTTAAGCAGACTCAGGCCTGCTTCATTGTCCTAATAAGGCTTGTTGCTGTTCTGTTGATTTTTAAGAGCCAAACATTACTCATCCCTTCTCTTTACAGCACAAATTCATGATCTTTTTTATGTAATTGTTCTCACTGAACTTAGAGTTTAGAGTAGAGCAATTTTCAAATTTTCCTGGCAGCCTTTAAATAGAGACAACCCTTTCAAGTTCAGTGCTTTGTAGGTTGTTTTATGATGTACCTGGATCCCATATGTATGAGGGGTGTGTGTGTGTAATTTACATTGACATGTACAGATTTGTTTTAAAAAATGAGATGTTTTGTAGACACTTAAAATATCATGTAGATACTAATGACTGTTATTGATATAATCATTATTATATTCTCTGTTTTGCCTCTGTGCCTCCCAGAACAGCCACCCCAGAATTGATTTTTTTTCCCCCCTCCAAAAAATTCCCTTGCTTTGTTTCTTCTCATTTCCCCCTGTCTGACCCAATTTTCTTCAATCACTTGTGCCTTTTGGTTCATCTTTCTTGAGTTTGGAAGTAAAGATGGAGACCCAAGTGGATGTCCCAGCTGTCTCTCACCATCCAGGGGATCTCAGTGCCTCAGTTTCCTGTCTCTCACATGAGGGTGAAAGTACACAGCATGGGTCCATCCCATTAGCAACCATGTGCTGCTCCCTACATTCTCATTAGCTTTGAATAGCTTCCATTTGCAAGTTCCTCTGAAGTTTTCCCAGCTAGTTTACTGTAGCTCACCATTCCAGTTCTTATATTTGTTAGACTTGTGATTTTGTTGGTTTCATTAACTCTGAGGAGGCCTGAATTCTGTGCCATCCCACAGCACTGTCATGTGGAAGCAACGCAGAAAACTTGGTGCCTGGGTCCATGCTCTGGGTCCTGGAAGGCAGGGTGGACATAATTGTCAGAGGGCAGCTGGGGTCTTGCTCAGCCCTCAAGATCTTCAGTGCCCTTCTGACCAGCCCAGGACTACAGCAAAAGTAGGCCAGAATCCCTCCTATTGCAGCTAGATAAGAGTGGAGAGGCCCTGTACTGGTGTTGGTGGCATTGAGAAGCCTCTGTCTGGCTCTCTGCTCTCTCTTCCCTGGCTCTTGCTTCTCCTCAGGCATTGCTGCTGTCTGCTTCTCTACCAGCTGCTGTGGGACAGCCACAGTTACAGGTCTAGGCTACATGAAGGGTTACCTGGGCTGCCACTCAGAAAGGTGTGACCATGCCCTGGGCTCCAGGTGGAGGTACCTAGAGGGTGTTTGGGAAAGACCTGTGGTCCAGGCCACTCAGCAGATGTTGTGACTACCTCCACAGGACCCAGTGAACACCCATTTCTACTGCATGGTCTTTTGTTATATTTAGCCAGATGAATGAGTGTAAAGCCCACAACTGCCTCAACACTTCAGCCAAGTAGGAGTGTTCTTTGTCCTTTAGGGTGTAAACCTGAAACTCACAACTTCTGTGCATTGTGAAAAGCAGTGCGTATCTCACTGAAGCTGTTCCTGGAAACCCTGGAGTGCTTGTTCAGCTGCTGCATGGCCTCGCAAAGCCCAGGAGTCTGGCTGAAGGCTCTCATGGGGCTGTTTCCCCAAATGCCCAATGGGATGGTGAACACTTGCATGTTAATTGAGACATTACTTATGGTAGTACTTTGAAACTTTTCAAGTACCAGACAGAATTTGTTTGGCACAGGATGGTGTGGAAGTTGAGAGAGATGGGGACGTGTCCTGCCTGTGAAGACTTCTATTACTAGGGGAAATAAGATATGTGTGGGTGTTTAAAGATGATTTTTTGCACATCTCTTATGGCTTCAAAGTTCTGGGGAAGGTCAGTGGGGAGGAAGCTTGTGGAGCAGGTGATGTCTGAGCTGGGATTGGAAAGATGGCTCCTTGAGGTAGCCAGTGTGGATGGGGCATTGACAGATGATTTTGAAGGTCAAGCCCTCCAGGCCAAGGCAGTAGTGTGAGAAAAGGCACAGGTTTGGAAACATGTCAGACTGTATATGCCAACCAGTGAGCTGGATTGGAGCATTGGTTTGGATTTGTACCCTGGGTTGGGAGGACCTGTGGGCAATGTTGAGCCAAGGGAGTACCAAGGTCAGAATGGAGTTTTAGGGTGAGTCATCTGGCAGCAGTTTAAATGGGTGGAGTTTAAAAAGACTGGAAACTCTCTTTAGTGCAAGACTACTAGAAAACTATGTAAACACAAAAGTTTGTTTATCTTCCAATTATTATTTTAAGAGTAAATGTGATAGAAGTATGTACTTCTACATAGAAGTACATTTGGAGGCATCAGTCAGGGTGATACAGGTCCCAGGCTTCCCAATCCAGTAGCAGCAGCAGCCACTCTGAAACAGTGCCTATCCATTAGGCAGACTGTTGTGAGTGAAGACATAGTGCTGCTCAAGCAGCATGTGCAGGTCCCTTGCACCCTCTGACTGTGTCCTCCCTTTGCTCTTGCTTTTCACTCTTGTCTTGGATCCTGCCCGTGCCTGGACTTGACTTCCTTGACTTAGTTTCCCATTCAGTACTCAGTATTGGGGCTTAATCTGTTTCTTTTCTTAGGTTGTCCTTGACCCTTTCTAGGGAGCTCTCCCCTTCCTGGTGATTTGGAGAAAACACCTTCTGAGACCACCCCATTCCACCAAGACTAAGTCCAGGGACCTCCTCTGCTGTAGCCTTGCTGAAGGGACCAGCCTAGAGACAAGTGTTGAGATGGGTGGAAGATTACTGACTACTCTTGAGCTTTGGTCCCCTCCAAGGAGAAAGGGAGATAGGTTTCTCTCTCTCCCCGTTAGTCTGGGAAGCTTTAATGTGGTAATGATGGAAAGGACTGGCTGTTTCCAGTGAATATTGGTTGCCTCCAGATTTGTTTGTTTGTTTGTTTTTCCTGACCTATTCCAGATGAAAAACATTTCCTGAGCAGCTCAACATGTCCTCAGTCTCTCTTTCTCTCTCTATATATATATCTTCTCATCTCAGTTATATTTTCCTTCTTCCTTGTTTGCAAAAACTTTGGTATAAAATGTTTAGCATTTTGTATTTTCTACTCCAAAACTTTGTACCATTGCCTTGAGGAAGGCCTCTGAGATCCCATGATAGAACTGGAAGCATCATTACCTACAGAAAGAATTTTACTTAATTCACTATGAGAACTTTAAGAACATTTTGGTCTGCACAGGCTTTTAGGAAATTCTAACAGCATTGTTCATTTTCATGAATAAGTATTTGAACAGATGTTCCCAAGCTGGCAGCTTATCAGCAATTTTACCAGAAGCTATCTATTTGTAACCTGAGAACTTGCCATCCCCTGTTGTGTTACTGTTATACTCCTAAGCTTGGTGGTGAATGATACATAGGAAGCATTGATAGTCACACTGATACAAAAGCAGTGTGAGGTTAGCCCTGAGCCTTGTGCCTTCCTGATTGCTAAAAATGCAGGATCTCAAGTTCTTGAAGTCTATGGCATGGAGGTTTCTGCCAAGGAAGAAGAGGTGCTCAGAGCTTTTCCCATGCACCTCCTCCTACTATAAGCATCCGCTCTCCTGATGACCTACCCTTCACTTCCCTCTTCTGCCATAAGTGCGTAGGCCACACTTCCCCAGAGGAGGTGACTTATTAAGACCTTTTATGTGCCAAAGTCTGGGGGAAGTCTAGTCCCTGCCCCTCCATGGGATGGGAAGGCAGAATGGCAGGCATGCTCTAGTCTTTAAAGGAATACCAGGAACTACTCATTACTTTACCGAGAAAAGTATGACACCAAGCACCTAGTGGAAATCAAACGCTGTAATAAGTGCTGTCAAAACTGCCCTCCTTTTTTGGTCACCACAGCGAATATAATGTAGATGTTAATGTCAATCTCATTTTTTTAGATTCAGGCTTTGGAAGTCTAAGTGACTTAACAGCTATGAGTCACCCAGTTATGAATGGCAGAGTCAGGTTTAAATACAACTTATGTCAAAGCCCAGGCACTTAGCACTCTCCATGCTGCATAGGTTGTGGGAGAGACTGTGCCTACAAGGGACCCAGCAGCTGGTCCCTATGACTGTGACACACCCACTCCATGCATGCTTGATGTGGACCAGGGAGCATGCTGGACCAGTGGCTGCAAGTGGAGGTTCAGTGCCAGGCCCTGTGCCTGCTATGAGACACAGCTCTTCCCTGGCCCCCCAGGTCCTGTTGGCTAATTTCCTGCCATAGTCTTGCAGAGAGTGGGTAGTGTGGGGAGGGTGCAGGCTCTTGCATTTTAATTCATTCCAAACAATCTGTTTTGCTTCTCAGGTACCCAAATAAGCTGTTTCTCCCCAAGTTCTTTCTCCTGGCGTCAGGCTGCCTTTGTGGATTCTTATTGCTGGGCTGCTGTTCAACAGAAGAACTCTCTGCAGAGTGAGTCTGGAAACCTTCCACTGTGGCTGCATAAGGTAATAGAGAAACTTTCCAATCTGTCCTACTTGTTTTATAGATGAGCAAGTGGAAGCCTAGAGAGATTGTGCCTGTCCACAGCCTTGTGGATAGGTATGGCCAACAGGACTGTTTCTCAGATTATAAAGCCACAGCACTTTCAATTCAAAAGATACCTCAGAGCTTCCTTGGTCCTGCAGCTTTGCATAGCAGATGGGGACACAGGTGCTTTGGATTTTCAGCTCTATAACAGAAGCACCTTGTTGGTCTCTATTACTTTCCATTAATACCCAACAGAATGTCTGGTTCCTAGGAAGTTCTCAGTACATTCTGAATGTTTGAAAGAGCAGGGCTGAGAGTAGCAGAGTCAGGATTTAGCAAAACTCCTTCACCAGTGACTTTTCTGTCACATACAGGGTATCTTGGAAAAAGTAAGGACCAACATAGAGTTTGGTTTCTTCTAGCCAATGCATTATTGGGGCATTCAGAAGCCCAAAAGTGTGACTCCTTCTGGGAGTGCTAGGTGCAGCACGGCTTTTGGAGTAGATTCCTTTGCTTTCTGATGGGTCCAGGCCTTGCAAGGAAGGAGAGATACTACACAAGAGACATCAATATTAGGTTCTGTGTCCTATAGAGAAGAGGGGCAGGTCAGGAGCTCTGTGGTCAGGGGAGTGCTGTGGAGCAGGAGCACATAGAGACTGGAAGCTAAGAACCTGGGTTGGAATTAGCAAGTTTGTGAAGAACATTCTGAGTAATAAAGTAACTACTTTAGGTTTTCTCTGTGCATAGGAAAGGAGGACTTTGTCTTCCTTTCCGCCTGTCATTGTTTCAACCCCTGGTTCTTTTGTCATTCATGAAATGAGAAGATGTTTGTGTATCTTCTGGTATTCTCATCTACTGAGGAAAGCAAAAAATTCTAGCTCTGAAAACCGAAAGACTGAAGTTCTGTTTGACTCTCTCTTGCTTTAAGCTACTGCTGGATGACCAGTCACTATCTTCCCTTTTGAAAAGAACAATTGCAGTTTGCTGTAACTCAGGCCTGTTTTTCATCATATTTGTTTATTGCATGTAGTTTGGCATTGTGGTGCCCTACAGTGACTCCTGTCTGTATTTGGGTTGGGCTTTTCTCTTTGATGTTCAGCCGAGCCATTGGATGAATCCTTGCCAGCTTTGCCTGGCTTTGTAGCCAAGGCAACATAACATAAGGATCTGTGGCACAAATAGACACAGGTCCTGAAGTTGGACAGCTTTGTAAATCTCAGTCTATGCTGTGGAAATTTACATCCATGTATTAAAAGCAGTTATGGAAATGCAGAGTTGTAACCAGCTACTGTGTTGGGCATTAAGGCAGCCACTGAAGAAGATTGTATAACTGGGATTGTCTAGTTTAATAGCTTGCAGCAATATTTGTGATTTTGAAACTTTTGGAACAAGAAGAAACTCAAAAGGTTTTTGTCCAGATGCATTTCACATGTTAGAGAACCTTGAGAGATCAGGCCCAAGAGTCAGGACTAGTTGCCAGCTGTACAGATAAGAACTCAGGCCTGCAGACTCCCAGCCCATTTTCCTACCATCAAGGAAGCAGGGGTATGGGAGCAGTCAGTGAGTAGTCAAGCTTTGGATTACCTGACATCCAGGAGAGACTAAGAAGTTCTTTCTCAGTAGATTAGCTTGTTTGGACAGATGAGCAGAGTTCTTGCCAGATTCACAGGGCTAGGAACAGAAATTGAAGTCAGGATCTGCTGCATTCGGAGGTTGGGACCCTGAAATGCCATTCCTTGGGAGTAAGGGGTGATGCAGAATTAAACTAGCCCGCACAGGAACTAGAGTCCTGGTTTGCATCATTCAGTGCCATTGGAATGAAGGAGGTCTGGCATTGCCAGTGTCTTTAGTTTGTCTACCTGCCTGCTAGAATTAAAAATAAGTCCTCTCTGGAGGAAGGTGTCACTGGCTACAGCCTCAGATTTGTGCTCTGGTTTTTCATATAAGGTATTTAGAACTTAACTCAGAGATTCAGATGTGCAGGAAAACCAAGGGAAAAAAAGAATGGAAACAGACCTATAGGAAATCCACTTCAGACACCCATATTAAATCATTACTAATGAGTTCAAAGAGTTATGAAAATGTGGAGAATTTCATAGAACTGGAAACTTCATAAAAGAGTCAAACAAATTCTCAAACAGCAGGTGCAAAAAATTTTTTTTCAGCTGACGTTCATTGAAGGCCCTCGGTAAGCTAGGATGTGGGCTTGATAGCAGAGAGCTCCCAAGGGACATGGTCCCATCCTCATGGATCTCACTCCTTGGTGGCAAAGCAAACACATAAGATGATACTGAGGATCAAACCCAGGGCGTCACACACTCCAGGCAAGTGCTCTACCACTGGGCCACAACCCCAGTCCTTAGGTTTTATTTTGAGACAGGGTCTCATCAAATTGCTGAGGCTGGCCTTGAACTTGCTGTCCCCCAGCTTCAGCTTCCCCAGTCACTGTAATTACAGGCATGCATCTGGCTATACTGAAATTTTTAAACCTGTATCTGGGGGTATTTTTTTTTTTTTTTTTGGTGGTGGTTTTTGTTGTTTTTATTCTAATTTGTTATATATGACAGCAGAATGCATTACAATTCATATTACATATATAGAGCACAATTTTTCATCTCTGTTTGTATACAAAGTATATTCACACCATTCGTGTCTTCTTCATACATGTACTTAGAGTAGTTATGTCTTTCTCATTCCGCTATCTTTTTTTTTAACCCCCTTGCCCCCTCCCTCCCCTTTGCCCTATCTGGCATGTGTGAGGCCCTGGGTTTGATCCTCAGCACCATATATAAACAAATAAATAAATAAAAATAAAAGATTCATTGACAACTTTAAAAATAAATGAATAAGACCTAAAATGAGCTGGGAATGTAGCTCAGTGGGAAAGTGCCCCTGAGTTCAATCCCTAGTACAGGAAAGAACAGTTTCTATTTTCACTTAATCTCACCAGACATACATGATCTGTGCAGCATGGCCCATAGCCATTGAAATAACTGGAGTCACCTGATACAGTCTATTACCCTAGGGTGAACAAAGTCAAATTGTTATTTTATCTTTGGAGGAATAATAAACATTTGGTTGGGCATGGCTTCTTTTTTGGTTTGTGTGTTCATCTGATATTTTATCATTTGACTTTGTCCCTCAGCACTGTGTGTCAACTCTAATGGTGTCTGTTTTAGAGCCAATACCTCTTAAGTTAATGAAAAAAAAAAAAAGATGATATTGAGAGGGAGTAATCAGAAAGCTAGATAGGAAAGCAAGAGTGTGGTTATTCTAGAAACCAAGGAAGGTGTTTCCAGATGGAGCAATAAGCTCTGTTATTCTCTGCCACTCTGATTAGGGTGGATCAGAGCTTACTGGATTTAATTAAACCACGGGTGAGCGTGGCAGGAGGGATTTTATTGCAGAAGTAGGAGCCAGATGGCCGTGGGTGAAGAGTGAATGGGAGGTGAGGAAAGGAAATGATGCGAATAGACAATTTCTTCAATTTTTTTTTTTTTCCTTTTCAGAAAAATCTCTCTTCCCAATAAGTGGAAGAATGAGTAACAATCTATGTAGTAACTGTAGGGAAGGTTGAGGTCCAGAGAGATTTTGGAATAGGACAGTTCTGAACAAACTTAAATGCTGATGGAGTAAGAAGGTAGAGAGGAGGCTGGGGTGTGGAGTCCAGCCAGCTCAAAGCACTGCCTGGGAAAGGTACAGAGGTTCTGGGAGAGGCCTGTCCTGTCGGGAAGCAGTGGGGCCTTGACTGACTGGAAGGTGGGCTAGGTTGTAGAGGATCTGTGAGAGCTAATGAGGTGTGCAGGCTAAATGCTGGAACATGGGAGCCATGGCAGGTGCCTGAGCAGGGTGAACCCGGTGGCTCCAAGAGTTCATCCTTAGGGTGGTGTGTTGGCGAGAGTAGAGGCAGGGAGAGAACCATTAGCTGGGCACAGAGAGAGGGTTCTGATCAGGGAACAGAAGGGAAGAGAAGCCTGAGAAGGCACAGAACAAATAAAAAGCAGCACTTTTTGATTAGAAGATTACCCTAAAGGATGGTGAAAGGTGATATCAAGTGCTTAGGTCAGGGGTCAGCAGACTTTCCTGTGAGGGTGGGATAGCAGAGTCTTTCTGTATTTGTAGGTTACACAGTCCCTGTTGTGGCTACTCAGCTCTGCCAAATTAAACAATATGTACAAGATGGATTGTGAACAGATTTGACTCAGGGGTAGCAGTTTGCCTACCCCTGGGCTAACACAGTAACAGTAGAGGTGTTAAGAAGTGGGTAGGTTCCTAGTGTCTTAGAAGGTAGAACCAACAAAATGTTCTGATTGGATGTGGAAGAATAAGGGAAAGATTAGAATCCAGGACACAAACAAGGTTGCAAGCAGTGGGTGGAGGTGAGGCCATGCACTGCTTTGATGAAGCCTAATGAAGGAGCAGGTTTTGAATGACAACCAGATAGTCCTGCTTGACCATGTTAAATCGGAGGTGCTCTATGGCTTACAGGATGTGCCAAGTATATAGTGGGGTATGGTATCTGGAGATCTCAGGGTGAGTTGGAGCTATAAATATTGTGGTCTTTCAAAAAACAGATGGCGTGGAAAGCTGCAGGACTGGAGGGGTTTCCAAGGGAGTGAGTTTTAGTGGGGTGAAGTCTACAAGGGGACTCAACATGGAGAATAGAAGAGATAGAGAGCTGGGGGTGGAGAGGAGAAGGAGAAGCATGTGCTACATGAATGAAAGGCAGGGGATCCTGTAAAGCAGTCCTGTGTCAATATAATAACCTGTGTTAAATGTTGCCAAAAGGGCAAGTGAGGTTAGGATTGAGACTTAGATAAACCCTACAGTTGGGGTGTCATAGTGTCCCCTAAAAAGTACTGAACTCTTTACCCCCTGGACCCTAGAACAAGACCTTATTTGGAGATAGAATTGTTGAAGATGTAATAAGTTAACATGAATTCATTCTGGAGTAGCATGGGCCCCTGCTCCAGTACAA